TCCCAGCCGTTGAAATTGTACGTATATGTACCTGGCCAGTAGTTTTGGGTTTTGTTTGCTTTTGTGAGGTGGTCTTACTACATAGCCCAGGCTAGCCTAGAATTTGCTAGCTTCTTTTCTTACCGTAACCCCTCAGGTATTTGAGTGATGGCTTCACGAGTTTAAATTCGACATGAATCCCCTTGAGTTCACTGACCTTAGTGAATCCATACAAGGGTGTGATATTTAAAAAAAGAAATTGTGTGGGGTGTGTATGTGATTTGTATGTATGCACACATGTATATGGCGTGCCTGCCTCCACATACACAGATGTATGTGCCCCTGCACGTGTGTGAGGAAGCCAAAGGTAGAAGTCAAATGTCTCCCTCTGTCTGCTTGCTTTTTTTTTTTTTTTTTTTTTTTTTTTTTTTGGCTAAGGGCTGTTGTTTTTAAAATGTATCTAGGTGTTGTCTGCTTGTATATTTGTTTGCACACTTGTGCATGCCTGGTACCTGCAGAGGCCAGACGAGGGCATCAAATCCTCTGGAGCAGAGTCAGTTGTTGTGATCTGCCAAGTGTATGCTGGGATTGAAGCCACAAGTCCCCTCCCTGGGACAGCCGCTGGTGTTCTTACTGCAGAGCCACCTCCTCAGCCCCTCCACCTTATTCTTTGAGACAGGGTCTCTCACTGAACCTGAGGCTCACAGTTTTGGTTAGACTGGCTCACCAGTAAGCCCCGGGGACCCACTCAGATTCACCTCCTAAAGAGTTACAGGCGCTGACAGCCACACTTGGCTTTAACTTGAGTAAAGTGCTTGATACACTCAAGTCAGATCCCAATCCTGGGATGGACCTCTGTACCCCTGTGTAACTTTTTTTTTTCAAATCCTATTTTTAATTTATTTATTTATTTATTTATTTTTAATTTTTTGTTTTGTTTTGTTTTGTTTTTCGAGACAAGGTTTCTCTGTGTAGGCCTGGCTGTCCTGGAACTCACTCTGTAGACCAGACTGGCCTCGAACTCAGAAATCTGCCTGCCTCTGCCTCCCAAGTGCTGGGATTAAATAGGCGTGCACCACCACTGCTCAACAAGTTGATTTATTTTCTTTCTTTCTTTCTTTCTTTCTTTCTTTCTTTCTTTCTTTCTTTTTTTGTTTTGTATTGTTTTGTTTTGTTTGTTTTTCCGAGACAGGGTTTCTCTGTGTAGCCCTGGCTGTCCTGGAACTCACCTGAACACCAGGCTGGCCTCAAACTCAGAAATCCGCCTCTCTCTGCCTCCCAAGTGCTGGGATCAAAGGCGTGTGCCACCACCGCCCGGCTCTAGAAAAGTTCTTTAGAGCAACTTCCATCTGTGTTGTCTGGAAATAAACAGTTCAGTTCACGGGTTAGCACACAGCAGAGGCAGCTCCATCCACTCAAAAAACACCTCATGGATAACCAGCAGTCTAGTTTGGTAGAGTCAGGATAGCAAACACAAATCGGCAGTGGTGACAAGACCTAGCAGAGACAGCCAGGCCTCAGCCTCAGAAGGAGGGACCAGGGCCAACAGGAACACTAGAAGTTCTCAGCTCTGTCTCTCTCAGGTAAGCAAAGATCAGCGAAGCCGTGAGACTCACAAGCGCTGCACAGCTGGCTGTCCCAGCAAGCCACGTGGAGTCCCTATTCATACCCTCCTGTAGGATGAGTTTGAGCTACACAGTTCGAGTTACACGGCTGTATGCGCCTGGCAGGTGGAGCTTCCAGCCACTCACCCAGGGAATCTTTGGATCTGCAAATCAAAGACATACTCATTTGTCTATTTTTGAAATGCCTTGGCTACCTCAAAGGCTGGGCACTCCTAAACTTTCCCCTGCTAGCATGCTTTTCCCTCCTGTACTCTTGGTTCAATATCGTCTAAGTCTACTTTTAACTTTGTTACCTTCTGTGGGGCCCATTGGTCTTTGATGCTCAAAACTCTTCTGGCCAGCCAGCTCTTCAGGGGCTGCTTTCCCTTTACTCCTAAACTTCAGATGATCTTCCCTCTGCAGCCCTAAATCTGATCTGTGCGCCTCTCTCCCCCCAACCCCCAGAGTCATGGTGATTCTGCGTCTCCTCCTCCCCTCTCCTGTGTCCTAGCCCACCAACTCTAAGGGTCCTACCCAGTCTCCCTTTGTCCAGCCATTAGCCACTGGCATCTTTATTGATCGATCAAAAACTAATTGGGGAAAAGGACCTTTAGCGTTTGGACATGCAAATTCCCTGTTGAATGGAAGCATTAGAACCAATCTCTAGCACCTTCCAAACATCACGTGTTCTCCACATGACTCGCCTCAGCCCAAGTCTGTAGAGTCCTGACAAAAGCAGCTCAACTATTCATTGTTGGGCAGATTAATACCTGTGCGTTGTTGACAAAGAATCCTTCATCATGTGTCCTTTCACATGCTTGCTTTAGCAGGGCATCCCCTCTCCTGTGTCTGCTTCAGCGAAATGTTTCTTCATGAGTCTGCCTTAACCTTTCACACCTACGTCCACTTTAATGAAACGTTCTGTCACGTGTTTACCCCAGCAAAATACTACCCAACCGACTTTGCAAAGAACCCTTAAATTTCCACCCCAGGGATGCTTTTTTTTTTTTTTTTTTTTTATCAACAGTCTACCATGTGGCAGGCCTTTACCGTGGGTTGCCGCATTATCTGCGATATCCCCAGGCTGTCCTCCCAGAGCCCACCCATCAGAGAGGAGAGGCAGGCAGGAAACATAGAATTGTGCAATGACTCCTTAATGACAATAAACGGGGCCTACTGTCAATGAAAAGTACCTGGTAAGCTGGGTGTGGTGGTGCTTGCCTGTCACCCAGCGCTGTGGAGGGTGAAGCAAGTGGAACTGGGAGTTCAAGACCAGCCTTGGTGATATAGTGAGACCATCTCAGAAAAGAAAAAGGAGGTGCCGAGAGGGAGAAGCCTATTGAGGGAGTAGAGCTAGGTTAGACTGGAAGGGACTAGAAACAATGCAAAAGTGAAGGGAGGAAAGAGATGGGGCTGAAGAAGGTGTAGGAGCTTGGGATGAAGGATGCTCTAAGGCCTGTGAGAGAGGTTTTGGGGGGTGAGAAAAGGAAAGCTGCCCAGGGAGGTGAGACCATGCTCAGGTGGCTATGAGGGGTAATTGTAAGAAGCCTGTGGCTTTATCTTAAAGGTTGAGGCAGAAGATGGGAATACAGCTGGTGGCAGGGGGAGAGGGAAGGAGGGAGGGGTGAAGGGGTCAGAAGAGATGTGTGACTAAGAAACACCCTGAGGCTGCTAAAAAGGAAACATGTTGGAAGAACCAATAAACTCAGGCCACTGAAGGAGCAAATTACAGCTGAGATCCAGGTGGCAAAGGGTAAGGTTAGACAGGGTAAGATTGCAGAGAGACAGCTAAGGACTAGTTTGTAAGATTGAGCTCTCCAGGACATTCCATGTAACTCATCTGCCTTGAGTGTTCAGGAGGAGCCCAGGGCTCACACTAGGTGTCAGGTTAGATGCCAGGGCTGCCACATCACTGAAGTGGGATACAAACAGGATGCCGGTTACGGTTAGGACCGTGAGCAAGCAGTTGACGGGCTTGGAGTTGGTCGTCAGGTAAGTGGGGCATCTAGAGGACAGACAGGATTAAACTGCATGTGGAGGGGGGAGGCGGCTCTCTCAGAAACATTCTCCTAGATCTCAACCAAGAGATAGATTGGAGGCAGGGGGATGGAAATAGAAGTGGTGGATATGGAGAGGGGCAAAGGGAGATGCCACAAGTTGAAATGGGATTCTGGGTCGGCGATCAGAAGCAGTTCAGTGATTTGATCAAGAAGTAGCCTGACTGGTGGAGGAGAGAGCTGGGCGCTCGGAGGGCATCTGAGCATGCCCTCGGTGGCAAACACCTCGCGGCCCAGAAGCAGACATGCTGCAGACCAGGGTACTGGCTCAGGGTCTGCCAGGGCTGGATGCAAGAATCCCCGAGGCAGAGGAGCAAAGAGCATGGATGGCAAAAATCCCCGGGAACCTTGTCATCTGGGCCACCAAGTGCACAAGGAACTGCATGCACTTTGACCTAGATCATTCTTGCACTAGCCTGCTGCATTAGCAGGGGCCGTCCTTGTCCCCATCTTACAGCAAGACGCACTGAGGCACAGGAAGACAAACATTTGCCCACTGCCCAGAGTCACATGGATAGGCTAGAGCTGGGATTCTCACTTCAGTCTGCTGCCACCTCTGGATTCCTGTTTCTGTGTTCAAGTGGGCTTTGGTGGGTTTGAGTGTCGATGAGCCCTCAAATGAGTACCCTGACCCCCAAGATGCCCGTCCCCCAGTGACCTTCCATTTGTAAGACTTCTCCAGCAGGCAAGCTCCTGACCCAGCTCATTTGAGGGTATTGTGGGCAGGCAGCATGCCATTGCATGTCTCTACCTGTCCCAGCTTCTGTGTCAATGCCATCAGAGAGAGAGAGAGAGAGAGAGAGAGAGAGAGAGAGAGAGAGAGAGAGAGAATGTGTCCTTGTTCAGGCTGCTGTGAGTGTGAGGGAATTGGAGGAGGCCTGGGAGGCTGGGCTGAGGGTGGAGGCCCAGAAAGGGGGGGCTGGGGGGGGGCGTCTTGGGCTGAGAGGAGTGGAAATTCTACAGGAATGTTTACCAGACCCTGAGAGAGTCCAGGGGGACAGCGCCCATCCTCCTAACTCACCAGCCCAGGGTCGGCCTCAGCCACCATGAGCCACCAAAGGTCTCCTTCCTCCTTCCCAGCCTCTCTCCAAGCCGCCCAGGCTCCTTTAAGACAAGGCAGATCCTGTAGTCTTCACTCCTAGTTAACCCCTCCAAGTCCCAGTGGCCCCAAGGCTGGGGCCCTAGTGGGCGGAGGCAGAGGGGGAGCCAGGGGCGGGGAAAGAAGTCTGGGAGTGAGAGAATGAGGCAGGGTAGCCGGGAAGGCGGCTAACTGCGGAGGAGTTGAGCCAGCCGAGGGGCTCCCGCTGTGCCAGGCGGGCAGTGCCAAATCCCAGGAGCCCAGAGGTGGGGGGAGGGCCGGGGACAACCCGGCCCTGCCCCCTTCCCTAGCGAGGTGCCCATCAACTTCGGAAGAAAGTTTGGCATCAATCTCAGCCGTTGGTGTCTTGAGGATGGGCAGGGTCCGGCTGGCCTGGTGCTTGGCGCTGTGCTGCTGGGGTTGTGCAACTCCTAAGGGTGAGTGATGGGGTCTCACTGAGGCAGAGACACCGGCTGATGGGACCCAGGGCAGGGGGCAGTGAGGAGGTGGGGGCTGGCTGGCAGGTGTTGGGGGTGCTGGGCCGATTTAGGGAGTTTTCTTGAGAGTGCTGGCTTGCGATGGAGTGTGTGTGTGTGTGTGGGGGGAGACAGAAGGACACAGACTCAAAGAGCCTGGGTTTAGGGAAAGCAGCTCAGAGAGAAACAGCCTGACAAGAAACAGAAACCGGGAGGGCCAAAAGATGGACTGGGCAGAAAGACAGACTGAAGGAGCTGAGGGAGGGCTGGGAGCTGATGAATCCGGGTCCTGAAGAGAGGGACAGAACTAGAGGGTCAGGAGGGATTCTTTCCCCTAACAAACACAGAGGAAGCCTGGAGAAAGAGGACTTCGGAGTCCTGGACCCCCCTTGTCACTGCTGTCCCCCTCCACTTGTTCTTGCCCTGCTGGAGTGTTTCTCTCCTCAGTCCC